TGCCGGCATCTAGAAGAAAAGCTGTGATCTTTGAATCAAATCAGGTTCAGGCCCTTCTATATGTTGCAGCTGTGCGATACAGAGGCCCCCTGCACTTCCCCAGCCCGAGTGGGTCCTCCCCGAAAAGCTGGGGGCCCACCCTCCTAGGACTGAGGAGTATGGTTGAACCTGAGTCTGGAGTGTTCTCGGATCTACCCGACCTCTGCTCATCCTGGCATTGTCAGAAACCTTGCAGGCAGAGCTCAGCCTGTCTCAGCCTCAGCAGGGCGGGGGCCATGAGCTGCTGAAGAAAGGGCAGGGCCAGAGCCAGGTGCAGGCAGCGGGAGAACAAGGGAGAAAACGGATCCTACCCGCCTACAGTGAGCCGCCTGTGGGGGCCTGGAGACAAAGGATGCTCCTGGCAGGTTTACTTTGGAACCTGACGCTGCCTGGCTGCTCTGGAGTCTGGTTTCACAAACCACTGAGCCCAAAGGTTTGGGTGCCCTGCTGGAGGCCAGGGTGGGCCTAATAAGTGTTGTAATTGTGAAGTAGAGTTGGCATTCATGATATTCGAGATACCTACAGCCCCTGTAATGAGAGAGGGAAATATCTGCATTTCTGTTGGTCACAGACACTGCTAACACTTCCGTTTGGCTGCGTGCATTCATAGTGGAAGGAAATGTTCGATAATTTCAGGTAGAGGTTAATAAGAATGAGATGCAATTTCCTCCTGAATTTTTCCCCCTCCCCCAAAGAGGTCTGTAAGTTGTCCCTAAACCACAAGGACAAGCAAAGCTTATCTCCTGACTGTTGGCCATGGGGAGAGTGGTTATCCAGTTGGAGACTGGAGGGGACCCTCAGTTAGAGGAACTGGAAATGATCTATTTCTCTCCCTGGGTGCTAGCTACCAGTTGAGTTCAGTTTGTGGAAATTCATTCACCTGTGTGTACACTTAGGATATGGGCACCAATCTGTATGAACAGTTGATTTCAATACAGATTTTCAAGGTGCTTTTACTAGAACAGATGTATATGCAAGTGCAGGCTTGCCTGCACACACACACACACACACACACACACCCCACGCACATCACACAGACACCGGTATGTACCGGTGAAGCCTCCGTAGGTCCATGGCCATACACGTGTCTCTAGAACCCTTGCAGGCATGTGGACACAGATGGATACAGTGAGACAGAGAACACTATTTTTAGGAAATAATTCCAAGCAAGAGAGGAGGCTTCCTGATTCACAGGACTAGTGATTGCTCACAGTGGAGAGGATTGCCCTGCAAGGGCTGCTGCCATCCAGGCTGGCTTATTGTTGTTGCTGGGTTGTTTGTTTTTTTTTTAATAAAAAGAATAGTGACTTTATTGTTTTTGTAAAAATAAGACAAGACCATCATAAATAATTCAAGAACTGAAGAAAAGCACAAAGGAGAAAGTTTCAAATTACCCAAATTTCCCCCAGCCAAGGGAAAAAAAAATCACCATTCGCGTTTGGGGACGAGTTCTGTGTTCACTCAAAAATGGAAGGGGACAGGCTTTTATAAAACGGGACCCTCCTCCCTCACCGGCTCTTTTTTAAACAAAGATGTTTAACTTTACTTGAACGAAGCAGAAGAACCAGGCACTGCAGGATGGAGTGGTTCTGAAAGTGTGCGTCCTGGGCCCTCTCTCCTCTGGCTTCTTCACACATTCCGTGTTGCACTTCCCCAGGGACCAGAGGTGCCCTTTTGAGACCTGGTTGTGTTGTGTTTGCTTGTTGTTTACCTGTTGCCTGGCCAGGTGCCTACTTCAAGGTGCTTAGGGCCCGGGCCCTCTGCAGGGTATGAGCAGGGGTCGGGGTGGCAGCCACCCCTTGGGGTCATTTGTGACGTGTTCCCGAGGAGTAAGATCAAGGCAAGGCTGGTCTTTGACGGAAAGGGATTCTGTGCCGGCAGAGATGGCCAACAGGTGCCTGGCCAGCCCTGGGTTTGATGTGGTAATTAGTGACACTGCCTCCCTCTCCGAGTGCATCCCGGTCAGGAGCTATGCTGACCACATCCTGTTTTGGTGGGCAGTTGGCACATTCTCTGGCCTCTGTGTCATAATCAGAGTCTGTTCACACCAAGTCCCGGATCATCTGAGGCGACCAGGGGCCATATGCTCCCGGGGTGGCGTCACATGTGTGTGCCGGCTGGACGTCCTAGTGGAGGCGCGGTCACCATTTTCTGGTTCTGCTGTTGCTCGGGGTGGGTCGTCATTTGTTCAAACCAGGGGAGGGGAGTGAGTGGAGGCGTCAGGAGTCTGGGATGCTCCGACAGCGTTTCCCATCTCTGGAAGGATGCCTCACTCTGGGGATTTCTTTGAGAGCCTCTCTGGGGGTTCTGCTGCAGCTGTGTATACCAGAGCGCCAACATCTGGATGACATCTGCAAAGCTGTTGCCCAGCTGTTTCCCCAAACCTGCAGGATTTGCCTGGGTCTCAGTCAGCAGATCCAGATGCCCCATCAGTTGCCAGATGTTGGCCCCTCCGTGCCCCAGGTGAAGTCTGGGCACCACCCCCTCCCACACAGGCACATGGTGCTGTGGGAAGACCAGACAGAGTGCCCCCCACCCTCTGGCCCCACCACCCAGGCCCAGAGTTTGGGCATCGGCCCAGGAGGCCTCTGATCCCCCCATAGGGCCTCAGGGTTTCCTCAGAGGAGATGAGCTGAGAGGAAGCACTGGGTAGCTTCTAATGCCCTTGCCCCTCATTCGTTTGTTCAGGACCAGCCCTGCCAGAGATCTGGAATGAAATGATGACAGGCCCCCTCCGCGTCAGCCCAGGGTGGGTTGGCACTAGTTGTGAGAAGTGTCTCAGAGTGGGCTTGGCTAAGGAACCGACTAGTGTGAGTGCTTCCTTCTGTACTGAGTGGGGCAGAAGGAAGGCTCCCCAGTGGCCCAGTCTCTCCTGCCTACTTGCGTTCAGATGTGCTCGTTGGGATGGGAAAGGGAGGAGTGACCCTCCTGCCGGTCCCCACGCACACCCCGCAGCCTGGAGGGCTCTGGCTTTACCCAGGCTGGCATCCACCAGGTGTGCCTGTGGCAAGGTGGGGAACCTGTGGTCTGGGAGCATCTTTGCTGGTCCTTCCCTCCACCCGCACAGCCACTCCCCGCTGGGCACAGCAGCAGCCCCGGTGTCTGTGTCTTCCAGCTTCCCCACAGGCAGCGTGAGGACAGCCTGTGCCCCAGAAGCAGGATGAGAAGATGGCAGACTTCCTGTTACCTCGGGGCACCAGCAGCTTCCGCAGGTTCACCCGGGAGTCCCTGGTGGCCATCGAGAAGCGCATGGCGGAGAAGCAGGCCCGAGGCTCGGCCACCTCGCAGGAGAGCCGAGATGGGCTGCCTGAGGAGGAGGCTCCCGGGCCCCAGCTGGACCTGCAGGCCTCCAAAAAGCTGCCGGATCTCTATGGCAACCCGCCCCGAGAGCTCATCGGGGAGCCCCTGGAGGACCTGGACCCCTTCTACAGCACCCAAAAGGTGACTGACGCCACCCCTGCCACGCTTGCCTGAAGTTCCCCCATCAACTCGGCAGACAGGAGAGGGCCTCGCCTCCACGCAGGGCTCTGTTTGGGGCCAGCTTCCCTGGGCTTTGAGGGAGTGAGTCGTTGGTGATCTATATTCCAATCACCTTAACTTTGGTGTTGTGGAGTAAAGGGCCACAATTATGCAGCCTGAGATGGTTTCGTATTATGAAAGAAAGAGCAGGCAGCCACAGTTGAAATCTTGCCTCCTTGCGGAATATCTACTTTGCGAATCATCTGCGGTTAGATTTTCACCCTGGAGGACTCCCCTGTCCCGTGGTGTGTGTGAATTGGAGTTGGGCACTGAGTCCTGTCCTGAGTTGAGTTTGGGCCCCAGAGCACAGTATGTGATCCCTTCTGTTAATCAGGGGTGGTGTGTAGCCCCCACCCCCTGCCCCAGAGAATCTGCTGGCTGTTGGCTGTGTCCAGGTGGCTCAGGCTGGGGCCCATGGCAGCAGTGTCCTAGGCCTTGTGGGCCGGCAGTGGGACTGTGACGGCCGTGGGAAATCTGAGAGGGGTGGGGAGGGGGTTGCTCTGCTATTGTCCCCGCTGAGTGTAGGGAGAGGAAGTGGCTTTTGTCCACGAGACAGGGTAACTCAAGCTTCCTCCAGCACAGATTTCTACCCAGGAGGTAAATCCCCTGTCTGGGTCCCCTGCCCTGCCCTCTTGGGACTATGTGCCCAGCCCTGCACATGTGGCCAGACCAGGAGCACACAGGGCTCCTGCAGAGGCCTGGTCCCCACCCCAGCTGCCCATATTTCGGGCCTCACTGCTGGAGGAGGAAGGCAGCTTTGAATCTGGGGGAGGCCTTTCCCCAGAAGGCTGGGTCCAAAGAGGTTGGTTCCTGCCCACATCTCTGCAGTCAGTACCAGGGCTGGGGAAGCACTGAGGGAAGATAGGGTTGGTGTTCCCAGGGTGAATGTGAGCACCTGGTGGGTATGAGTGTGTGTGTGTCAGGGTCGCCAGGCACCTCAGTGTGTGTCACTGGGCTTTGAGACTGCATTGACGGTGGGCGTGGGCACGACTGTCTCTGTGTGCATGCACTTGTGAGTGGGTGGGTAGGCGAAGCCCACCCAGGCTATATGCACAGATGGGAGATGGGACCTTGAACTTGGTCCTGCTTTCCCCCGGTTCAAGTGACTCAAGCAGGGTTGAGGTCAGGGGCTGTGGCCACAGCTGGTGTTAGAGTTAGACTGGACACTGGGATTAGTCAGGATGGGTGGGTCTAGGTTATGGTTGGTCAGAGCTGGAAGTAAGAATTAGGGTCAGGGTTAAGGCCACAGCTGGGAACGAGCCAAGTTTGAGTGGCGAATCAAAGTGGCAGTGAGGTTGGAGTTAGCTGGGACAGGCAGGAGTCATGGCAGGGGGACCTAACTGAGCGTGGAGCCAGGGCTGGGCCAGGCTCTTCAGGGCTGGTGGCAGTTGAGCTTGGAAGGAGTCAGGGACACTCTCTCTCCTGTCCCTGTGACTGGGGACACTTGAGCGGTGGCCCCAGGTAGGATTCTGGTCTCTAACCTGTCTCTCCTTGCTGACCCCTGGCCACACTTCCTGCAGTCCTATGGGGTGACGCAGGCACCACAGCAGAACTTTCGGTCCTCATCCATCTGGTCACCTTGTCTCCTAGGCCCAGATTAAATAGAACCTTATCTCACCAGCTCAGCTCTGGGAGAAGCACAGCCCCAGAGCCGTGCCACCTCTGCTGCACCCGCCAGAGCCTGGGCATGGGGGATAGACCACTGTCCTCAAGGGCGACGTCCAGCTCAAACGTCCGCTTGATGTGCATGTGTCTCAGCCTCCAGCATTCACTGTCCACTCCCATGCCCCATTGTGCTGTGTAGACAGTATCTTCTGGAAGTTTGGGGAGTAGGTTTACCCCGGGCTGCCCATGATCCCCTGAGGGAGACACTAGGTCATGTCCTCTGGGTTGGATGGGGCTCCATCTGTCCTGGACTCCAGGAGACAGAGTCCCAGGGAAAGCGTCTCTCTCCTGGGCTGGGTTCTGTATTTTCCTCATCCCCACACCTCACTCATTAGTCCTCCCTGCTGACCCAGCTCCCTCATCAGGCCCTCATTCCTCAGAGGGCCCGGTGGGGAAGTGCACAGGGGTCAGAATGGAGAGGGAAAGCAGGGGGCCTTGGCTGGGTCCCGGCCTTGGCCGTGACAGCAGCTTGGCTCAGATCAAGAAAGGCCCCTTCTTTTTGGGACTGTAATTTTGAAATGAAACTAAATCCCACCCAACCTGATATTCCCCAATCTCTCATAATCCCCGATCTCGTCCCACCCCAGCCGTGGGCAACCTAGAGAGGGTCCACCAACCTGCCAAATGTGCTGGCTTCCTTCTACCCGCACCCTCCCTCAGACCCTCCCTTCTTCTCCCTCTGCCCCTCAGCCAGAGTTCTGGCTGCCCCCACCCAAAGCCTCTCTCAGTAAGGGCCTAGGGACTGTCACCCAACCTAAAGCAGCTCTCTGTCCACAGACCTTCATCGTGCTGAATAAAGGCAAGACCATTTTCCGGTTCAGTGCCACCAACGCCTTGTATGTCCTCAGCCCCTTCCACCCCATTCGGAGAGTGGCCGTGAAGATTCTGGTTCATTCATATCCTTTGCAGTCAGTCCCTGCCTTGCGTACCCCCTGGGTCCCACATAGCAGGTGGGCAGGGTGTTTTGGGCTGAGGGTGGTGCTGATTCCTAGTCGGTCCTCACTGATGGCAGGCAGTGGTCACCACCTGGTTGGAAATCAGTTGGAAATCAGCTGGTTGGAAATCAGTTTCTCGGACCCCACCCCAGACCTGCTGAATCCATACCTGCAGTTTAACAAGATCCCAGGGGATTGCAGACATATGAAAATTTGGGAAATTCTGCCCTGATTCTTCGGGAGAGAAATGTCCTAAAAGCTAAGCTGTTGAGGATCCCAGAAGAAATGAGGCTGGTCTGTGCCCCCTGGCTCTGATCTTGGCTCCACATGTCTCCTCTCACCGCAAGCCCTCGGCTGGACACCGCCCCACCCACTCGCGGGGACCTCAGGCAGGTCGCTGGGGCTCAGCCTCCAGTTTATTCACACGTGGGCCTCTTTTGAGGGAGGCAACACTTGCTTTTTGATTAGGTGTTGACAAAATGTTTGCAGTTTCAAAGTATCTCAGAGAACTCTGGTTAGCATCAAATTATATAAACCACAGCCTGAAAACGCTGGAGGCTGCAGGGAGGAGCAGTGGAATAAGGGGTGGGTACCGGTCTTCGGGCCCTAGGAGGCCCCATCCAGGCTGAGCACGGGACAGGGAGATAGCTGTTCTCTGGACTTCAGGAAAGGGGCCCCGTCAATGGAGCCTCTCAGGAAGGGCAGGTGTCCGGCCGTGGAGTCAGAGGTGTCTGTGTTTCACTGTAATGGCCTGGGCAGCCTTGCTTCAGCTGCAGCTGGCCTGGCTGTTAATTGAATCAGTGCTGCTGGGCTCAGCAGTGTGATTAGTGGTGAGGCTGGCAGGCTGGCCCCAGAGAGCTCCCCAAGGTCCCCCCTCAGTTTCCACTCTGGGTGACCTTTTCTGAGGCCAAGGCAAAGGCCTCACCCATTAACCTCTGGGCAGGGCAGGAGGCTCTGAGTAACTGAGATAGATGCTGACAGCTTGGGGGCCTTTCCTGTCCAGGCAGGGGTGAGGGGTGCTCCTTCACAGCTTCGCTGTCTGCCCACCTGTGTCCCAGTGCCTGATCCCTACCCCCAGGGCCAGTCCTGGGGGCTCTGGACCCCATTTGTTCTCTGCCTGCAGACCCTCTCCAGCCCCCTCCCGCTTGCTCCTGCATTTCTCATGGGGATCCTGAGACAGGTAGGTCCAGGGAAACCCTCCCACACAGGCCATGGCTGTGGCATCAGCAGGGTGGTCTCTAGGGTGGGCAGACACTGTGGGGAAGGCCTGTATACAGGGGGCAACCTGCCATTCACAGCTGCATCTTAACTTTGGGAGGCAAGGGTGGTTCTAGGTTTAATTTTGAGTCATTCTGTGACTATTTCCCAGCTTCCTGTAGGTGCCAGGCACGTTGTTTATCAAGCTGAATAAGACCCTGTCCTTGCCCTTTGGGAATTTTACAGCCCCCAAGAGTGGTTAGACAGGCACACGAGTAGTGTCTGTCCTTCCTGCTGGCGGTGTGTGGGCTCAGCCTGATGAGAGCGGTGCAGCAGGAGGAACGGCCAGCCTTCTTCTTGCTCTGAGCCTGTCTCCCGCCTCACTCCAAGGGCGTGGCCTCCCTGAAAGCACACTCCGGCTTCCACCTGGGGCTTCTTCTCCAGGTATCTAGCCAACCCTGCTGTTTGGCAGCCCCTGGAGATGCAACAGCAGCCCCTGGAGATGCAGTGGCAGCCCCAGGGTTCCTACCAGGCTGGGCTACAGGCCGGCTGAGGCCAGGAAGGCAGGTGGGCACGGGAGGTGGTGGGGGCAGTGGAAACCCTAGCCTGTCCAGAGCGTCCACCGAGCCATGGTTCTGAGGCTGTGAGGGGCTGGTTCCACCTGACAGGGCCCGCCTGGCCCTGAGGCCTGTGAGGCGGACCTTGTCCCCAAGGACAGCTGCCCCAGGGAAGTGGCTCTGCATCAGGGAGGCCCTGGGCTAGGCTCCCAGCGGCAGCCTTGAGGCTCCGCTGCCTGGAGATGGGAGCACACTGCTGGTCTTCAACAGCGCCCCTTAGTGGGCTCAGGGGACACTGAGGGAGAGGAAGGGGCCTGGACTTTGTGTCCTGTGTCTTTGAGCCCTGCCATCACAGTGTGGGACACTGAGCAGCAGCAGTCAGCATCACTGGGATCTTCTAGGAATTGCCAAATCTCTGGCCCCACCTCAGAAACCATATTTTAGGAAGGTCTCCACAATTTGTGTGCGTGCTGCTCTAAGGCAAATGTTTCCAAATGTCCATCTGTGAGTGGCACCTGGGAAGTTTGTTAAAAATGCAGATTCCTAGCCCTTTCCAGACCAGAATCGCCAGTGTAAGGTCTAGAAATCTACCAGCTTTCCATTCATTTCTGTGGGTTTTTTTTAAATCGAGATATAGTTCACATACTGTAAAATTTACCATTTAAAAGTGTACAATTCAGTGTACTTTAGTATATTCATAAGGTTGTGCAACCACCACCACTAATTCCAAAACATTTTTATCTCCTTAGAAAGAAACCTCGTGCTCATTACCAGTCACTATGCATTTCTAATGCACACGGATTTCATGTTTTGAATTATGAACTCTCTCCTCATATTTTTTAAAAATTGTGGTAGAAAACGTATAACATAAAATTGACCATCTTAACCACTTTTCAGTGCCCAGTACAGTGGTGTTAACTATCATTCGCTCTCTACAACTTCTTCATGTTGCAGAACTGAAACTCTATCCACTGTTGGCTTGCCATTTTAATAGCCATTCAAATATCTTAAGTCTTCAGTGTTCAAAGTTCTGTGCCAGGCCCTTTGGAAAGGGCAGTAGGGGCAAAGACCAACTTAAAAGGGGGCAGAACCGCAGCCCCTGCTCTCAAGAAAGAAAGCCCGTTTATGTGCAGTCGTCCAGGCGTTCGCAGTGACGCACTGGCGAGCCCGCGGCTTTGCTCTGGGCTCCACGCTTACAGTGCGTCCCTGGGAAGTTGCCTAAAAAGTAAATATGGGCATGTAGAATTTTTTTTCCTGATGTATTTTTGTTATAATCCTGCAGGATGTGTTCCTGCCAGGATTAAAAGAAACCAACAGAAATCCAAATTCCACTGCAGTCACATTCAGAGAGGCCGCACGTTCATGGCAAGAAGCGTTTTGCCTTCCTCGGGTGCACAGGATCTGTTCACAAAATCCTCCCACGTTCCTCTAGCAGATTCAAATGGACAATCAAACCGTGTGCGTGTGTGTGTGTGTGTGCGCACGCGCATGCATGTTGATTTAATAGCACAAATATATGAAAATGCCCCCCCTTTAATTCCCTTCTCTTTGGGAGTTTTTTGTTGTTTTTTTTTTTTTTTGACTCCTTAGGATCTAAAGACAGGCAGCCCCAGTTTCAGGCATTCCCCACAACCCATGCTGGCAGCCCTTGCTGGCATTTTAATCATGAGGCTGGGAGTGGGTGGCTGGGGACAATGACATGACAGGATTGAAGATGTTCAGCTGAGCTCAGCCCTGGAGAGCTGGCCTTTGCCTCTGCCCACACATGAAACCTGCTCAATCATCAGCCTGAAACCACTAGGCAGTGCAAACAGGTGTGTCCTGGCCAGGAGTGCTCTTGACTTACCTCCCTGATATTGACTGCATGCGTGGCTCCAGGGAGGACCTGGGGATGCTTTGGTCAGAGTCCCCTGGACTAGAGGCTCGGTCTAGAGAGGAAGAGGTCACACAGACATATACTCAGGAGTGACTGAGAATAATGGAAGGGCCGTCCTCAAGGTTAGGAGAGCCAGGCAGTGTGTGGGGCAGTCAAGCAGCAGAGACCGGAGTCCACCGCATTTCCCCCGAGGCCATAGCTGTGTCTGGAAAAGCCAAATTCAGACAGGCAGCTCTGTACTTTCCCACTGTGCGACCCAGGCCCTGGCTGGCAGGACTTGGAAGGGCTGTCTGCTCTGGCTCTTCCCTAAGTCCAATCCAAGTCCCCAATCCAAGGTGGCCTGTCCACACCACTGCTCTCTGCCAAGGGCCCTTTTCTCCACTCTAACAAGAGCTGTGGGTCCGCTCAAGCCGGGAGAGGCTTGGTTCCACAGACTGGGATCTCCCTCGTTCTCAGCTTCACCATGACCAGCTGGGCTGATTGGTAGCTAGAGGAACCCTAGCCAGCCTTTACTGCCTCTCTAAATGCCTCCTCCAGGAAGCCTTCCTGCCTGGCCCCTAGCCAGCCTTCAGTGCTTGTCTAAATGCCTCCTCCAGGAAGCCCTCCTGTCCTACCCAGCCAGAGGTAGGGCTGGTTTCTCATAATATCCCATCTTGGAGCAGTTCAGGGGCTCAAATGGTTCCCTGTCTCCCACCCACGGCCAGGCACACGTGCTAACATGAGGTTTGTTCTTTAAAACAGTGAACAATTCCATTCCTCCTGGGTGGCCACCTGCTCACACTTTACAGAGCGCTTCACCCTTTGGTTTTACGTCCTGCCTTCTAGGCAGCAGAGTCCAAACAAGGGATAGCAGTCCAGCGTGGCAGATGAGGGCCTGAAACAGCACAAATGACACAGGCCCTTCAGTCTGGAGGCGAGGGAAAGGACCGGGGGTGACCTGTGGTGTCTCCGTTCTGAGACAGGCTCAGAGTGGAGGCCTCCATCAGCCTACAGCCATTTTCTGTGGCTGCTGTAACAAATCACCAGAAACTCAGTGGCTTAAAACAACACGGATTTATCATCTGACAGTTTCGGAGGTCGGAAGTCCAAAAAATGCTTACGGGGCCAAAGTCAAGATATCAGCAGGGCTGTGGTCATTTTTGGAGGTTTGAGGGGAGAATCTGTTTTCCAGGTTTTTCCATTTTCTAGAGGTTGTGTGAAATCCTCGTGAAATCCTTAGCTCTGGCTCTCCTCCATTTCCAAAGTCAGCAACAGCTGGCGGAGTCTTTCTCACAAGCATCGTGCTGACTCCTCCCTCCTCCTCTTATAAGGATCCAGTGATGACATTGGGCCCACCCAGATAATCCAGGATAATCTCCAGGTCCTTAATTTAATCACATCTGCAAAGTCCCTTTGGCGTATAAATTAACGTTTATAGTTTGCCGGGATTAGAATGTGGCTGTCTTTGAGATGGTGGGCTGTTGGGGGTGGGCATTATTCTACCTCCTATAGCATCTTTCAAGGTAACCTCTTTGTGCCTCAGTCTCGTCATCTCTAAAGTGGAGACAAAGACTCCACCTCCTGTGTTCTTGGGAGAATTGAATTAGCTAATGGATGCAGAGAGCAGAGCCTGGCACCCAGGAAGGGCTCATTAAGTACGTACTTTTAGCATCATTACCTTCACATTTCAGGAATCACCTGATCTTCAGTAGATGATTTAGCCACGCATCTGTGGAGATGAGTAAAGCCTGGTTGAGGGGCTTGTTAACTGCCTGGGCGAGGAGTGCCTTGCCAGGGAGCTGGGGTGTGAGGAAAGTGTGTCGGGGAGGAGAGCTACTGAGATGGGTACCTAATCTTGCCCTGGTAGGCCTGGCCACGGAGATACCAAACTGATGGAAGTACCCCAGTGCCTGGAGAGGTACCCCCTGGCCAGGGAGAAATCAAGGTTTCCTGGAGCCATGACCTCTTGAGCTGAGCAACTCTGGTTTGATTGGGCCCCCTCCCCCCTTAGGTGAGAAATCAGAGAATTCATTATAAGCTGAGGGCTGGGGCTGGCTGGCTATTGCTTGATTCCTTGGATTCCCTAGGAGGAGGGAGAAATCCTAGATTCCTTGAGAGGTCCCACCTCTCTCCCCAGCTGGGGCAGCCCCCCTGCTAGAAATCGGCACCCCAGCTCAGCCTCATCTCCAGTCTGACTGCATTGGGCTCCCCATTGGACATGAGGCTGGGCCACGCCACGGGAAAGGGTGGAGCTGGGAGGGAGGAAAGAGGCAGGCCCCTGGAGCTCAATTACTGCAGCCCCGGGGCAGCCCGTGGCAATAAACTTGCTGGCTGTCTGCACCTGCAGGGCTGAGGGTGGGGCAGTTTGGTGAGCGTGGGGGTAGCCGCAGGGAGTGGGAGGCTCAGCTTCCCTTCTTGGGCTGGGAAGAAGTTTTGTGAGGGCAGCAGAGCGTCCCTGTTCTGGGCCATGTACCTTGAGGGTGCCCCAGCCCACAGGAGGCCCAGGGTCTGTCCCTCTCTCTTCTGCGGGGCTTGAAGGTGAGGGAGGCCGTTGAGGTCAGTCAGTCAGAGCTTCCAGCCTGGAGTAGCAGCTGGGACTTGGAGCCAAAGAGTCTGGACTCAGACAAGGCCTGGAGGATGCCTGGGGCAGGGTAGAGGAGTGGGTCCCAGCATTTGAAGAGCCCCCCTTTTGTGGGGGGTACAGGTGGGCACTACCATTCAGGGAGCCAGACGTGCTAAAAGAAGGAGGCTGGTGGTATGGGGGGTGCCGTGGCTGCAGCAACCAAGGAGTCAGGGCAGCCGTGGTCCTTGAAGGAGAGGTGCGGTTACCAGGTGGAGCGGAGGCCGGGTTGAAAAGCGTGTGGAAAGGCGGAAGCAGCCAGAGAAGCAGGCCTCTGCCTCTCCCCGGGTTAGTGTGTCCCAACAAGGTATCTACGTTTTGGCATAAGTCCTAGTTCAAAAGTCAGCCTAGGCTGCTCCCATAGGACTGGAGGAGGGACTGGGAGCCCTGCCACCATGGCTTTCCTCTCCTTGAACCCGTGGTCCCCGAGGAGCAGTTCCTAAATGGCCATCTCCCTCCAGTGTGGCCCAGGACAGGGCTCCCACGCAGCTGGGGTCCCGGCCCTTCCTCCCTTCTCTCCAGGATGGGCTCTGCTAAAGGTGTGGACTCAGGTGTCTGGTCCTGCTTGGGGGCAGTGAAGCCAGCAGGTGTCTACCCTTAGTGGGGAGGGGTTGGTAAGGACTGGGTGCAGCCCTGGCATGTCTCCTGGGAGCCCCTGTCTCATTGACCTGGCAGCCCTGGCCTGTCCTGTGGTGCCAACCCCAGGGGCAGGACCCTCTGGTGGCAGCGGCCCTGCTGTCCCCTGCACGCAGCTTTTCTTGACCTGGTCCCACGTTCTTCAACATGCTCATCATGTGCACCATCCTGACCAACTGCGTCTTCATGGCCCAGCACGACCCTCCGCCCTGGACCAAATATGTCGAGTGAGTATCCTCAGGGCCTCTCCAGCCGGCCCCTCCCTCCCTGCCTTTTCCATTCTGGACTCTTGGCCCCAAAGTCACCCGAGAAGGAGCCCAGGGACTTGCCCATCTGGAGCAGGGGAAGAGGGGTTCCTTGGCACAGCCCTTCCTTCTGCTGCTGCTTCCAGTCCTCCTAGATTCATGCTTTGAGCTGTGCTCTCAGGAGAGGACGCTCTCCAGGTTGGCAAAGAAGGGGTTTCTCCCTGACCCACCGTAAAAAGTTCTGACGATAGTGGAGCAGGTTTGGAGATAATACTAAGAATTGATTGAGCACTAGTGCATGCCAGGCGCTGTCCTAGAATAAGCATTGTGTCCTTTAACCCTGATGGCAACACAGGCAGGCAGGTCCAACCACTATGCCCGTTTGACAGACAAGACAGAATTGGAGGAGTGACCTGCCCCAGACCACGCAGCCAGGGGGTGTGGCTTCCAGGCAGAGACTCAGGACTACCCCTGCCTCAGTGCCACACTCTGCTGTCCCTTTCCCCTAAGTCCTGCCTCCTGTAACCATTTGCACAGTTTTAGAAAACTATGTCTGGTCCTTTCTTCCCAAATGAAATTTCCTGACCCATAGGCTCTAAGATTCAATAGGCCCTGGTGCATTTGGCTCCTGTTTTCAGGGGTTCAAGGAAATGTCAGGGACAGCCTCTCTTACCAAAGTGACTTGCCTGGTGGCACTCCACGTTCTCACAGGACCCCGTGGCACCGTCGGTGCCAGGGTCTGCGTCCAGCTGCTGAGACCTGGGTCCTCGTCCAGCCCTGGGGGCCACAGTCCCAGCGTCCAGGCACTTGGGATTGCTCAGCCCACCCTGGGCACAGAGAACAGCCCCTTCCCAGCCTCAAGTGTTAGAACATTACCCCGCTTTCAAGCCCAAGGTAGGCAGCTGTAGTCACCTGTAGGTGGTTGAGGATGGACTATGCTCCCGCCACTGAGGACCCACACGCAAGGGTGAGGGGCCGTGACCCTGAGGGTCCTATCTCTCCCAAGTGTTCACCATATGCCTGTGTACAGGGACCCCTAGAGCTGGGGGAGGAGATAGGTGGAGAGTTTTCTGACATCAAGACAACTGAGAGAAGATAGAGGGTTCACATGGGCATGAGGAAGGTCTGTGCAGGATGCTGAGTGAACAGGGAGATGCATTCATTGGCCAGGTGTTTGGAATGAAGCTTCAGCTCTGCCAAAGGGTCTCTGCAGAGGGCCTGGTCTGAGGGCATTCGAAAGGGAAGCTGAGCTGGGCGCATGCCACGACGGGAACCTGGCTGACCTGGCCTGTGGGCTATGGCCTCCCTGAGAAACCCCACGGGTCTCTCCTTTCCAGGTACACCTTCACTGCCATCTATACCTTTGAGTCTCTGGTCAAGATTCTGGCTCGAGGCTTCTGCCTGCACGCGTTCACCTTCCTTCGGGACCCATGGAACTGGCTGGACTTCAGCGTGATCATCATGGCGTAAGTACCCTGCCTCTGTGCTGTCTGATGCCAGGCCACGCTGAGGGGCATGGGCACCACTCCTGTTTCCAGGCTGCCTAGCCCTCTTGCCTCCCTGCTGAGGCCACATCAGCTTGGTAGGCGGCTGTAGAGACACCCACTTTTCCTGCTGTGGCTGGAGGAGGACACTCTGGAGACCCTCGGCTCATCCTGGTGGGGAGAGACGGGTTCAGAGTAGCTCAGGTGGCCGTGGTGGTCAGGTCCACTGGCTCATCTGTGGCTCCGTGGCAGCTCTGTGCTCAAGGGGCTTCGTTAAGATTCTGGTTCAGCATCCTCTGCCCTTTCCATCAAAGGAAAACCAGTGATACAGCCTGAATCTCTAGACCACTGTGAACAATGACCTGGATTCCAGGGTGATTTAAACTGCAGGAAAGAGAGCAAAGGAGCCCAGAGTCAAGGTGCTGAACATCCCCCAGCCACACCCACATGTCTCCAGCCTCCACTCACAGATTCCACGTCTGGCACGTTGTGAGACACGCTGTCACTGACATGATCCATTGTGTCCTCACACCAGCCAGAGAGGCTCAATGAGGGTTCCTTATCCCCATTTTACAGATGAGAAAACTCATGTTAGGGACACAGTGGGCAAACATGATCCCCCAGCTTGTTGCCACACCGACTGAGGCCCCACTTCCTTGCCTGGGAGGAGACACTTGCTGAGGGGTTGGGTTGAGATGTTCCACTCTGATGTCTCCGGCAACGGATGCTGGGTTCTGGTGGGGACGACTGATCAGGGCAAGCCCCTCTCTGTGCGAGAGCCTTGGTCAGGGACTTAGCCATCAAACCCTCTCTGAAAGCCTGATGTGTGTGGGGAACCCAGTGTGTGCAGGGCTGGGCCCCCACCATGGCCAGGGGCACAGCAGGCGAGGGTTATAGTCCCTGCCCTTACAGAGCCTCAGTTGCCCCACTGGTGAAAGGTTAGTGTTGAGCTGAGTGGTATCAGAGGTTCAATTCAATTGCCACTTTCTAGGATTCTCAGATTGACTGAATCCACTTGTTCATGACAAAGTCTTTACCCTTGGATGTGAGTGGCTCTGAGCTCAGCCACATGGTGGGGGAGAGAGGAAAAGAGGGAAGCTGGACCCTGGTGATGGGGTGCCCTCAGCTGGATGGAGAACCTGGTGGTCAGAACGTGCATCAGAACCTCTGTTGTTAGCTACACTGCTTGTGGTAAAATGGTGGTCCACCGTTTTACAGGTGCAGAAACCGAGGCTCAGAGAGAGGCTACCACTTGCCCCGAATCCAGTGTAGATTTAGGCCTGGGCAGAGCCGAGCGAACAAGGAAATAGTGGACTGTCGGGGACAGATTGTGCAGTTTTATAGTCCGTGATGAGAGCCAAGTGTGAAGCGAGCTGGTGTGGGTTAAGAGCAGGGAGGGACGTGATCAGATTTACATTCTGTGAGGATCGCCCTGGCTGCTCTGCGGCCAGGACACTGGAGAGGGGTAAGGGCGGAAGTGACAGAGCAGTTAGGCTATTTTCGTAGCCAGGAGAGAGAGGATGGTGGCTGGGACCAGGGTGCAAGTGGAGAAGGTGAGAGACATGGTCAGATTCTGGATATATTTGAAGGTAGGGCTGACAGGAGACCTCAAGGCGGCTTTTGGCTTGAGCAGCTGGGCGGCTGGTGTTACCCTTTGTTGGTGTGGAGAACGGAGGCAGGCGTTGGCACAGAGAGGGGAGAATCGAACATCCGGTCTGGAATGTATTAGGTATGAAAGCATCCAGGCTGAGATATCGAGTCGGCAACTGGATCTTCCAGCCTGGAGTTCAGGAAAGAGGTGCACTTGGAGGTATAAATTTAGAAGCCGTCGGGATACAGATGGCATTTAAAGCCGGGAGACCGGATGAGATCATCTAGGAGTGAGTGTCCCCAGGGAAGGGAAGCCGCCCGGGCACTGTACCCTGGGACACGCCAACATCTCCAGGTCAGGAAAAAGGAGGATGGAGGGAAGAAACTGGAGGGGATGGCCAGTGAGGGCGGGGGAAAACCTGGAGAGAGCAGAGTCCTGAAAGCCAGCTGAGGAATGTGGCTCGATTTGAAAGAAAGCACGAGGAGGCTGAGGAAGGCGAGACCCCAAACGGACCATTGGAGTTGACAGCATCAGGAGGGTTGATGACCTTGACTGACAAGATGGCTTCCAGGGGCGTGGAGGACACACACCTGATTAGGGAGGTGGGAGGAGGGCAGGTGGAGCCAGTGTACTCATTTGCTTCGTGGGGTTTGCTCTGAAACAGGACTGAAAGTAGGGTGGCGGCCCAAAGGGACGAGGGTGAAGGGAGGACGTTTAAAGAAGGGAGGCATCTTTGCAGGTTGGTGGGATTGATCCAGGAAAGAGAGGACGTGGGTGATGGAGGGAAGTGGGTGACTGCAGGGACAAAGCCCTTGAGCTGGCCCGAGGGATAGGAATCCAGAGTCTGGCTGGAGCATCGGCCTTAAGAGCAGGGAAGGCAGATTTCAGGTGGCAGTGGCGGTGGACTGATAGAGTTGATGATGAGGGAAGGAATTTCTCTTCTGATTGCTTCTGTTTTCTCAGTGGTAAGAAGCAGGGTCAGCAGCTGGGAGACAAGTCTGAGGTTTGAGGAGGGAGGGCTCCCCGTGCCAAGAGGCCACACCGATGGGAATGCAGTGGGATTGCCAGGCCAGGACCAGGCTCCAGGGTGCCCTGCAGGAGGGTGGCGGTGATCCAGGGGCCCCGAGGGCCTGAAGTCACAGGAAGAGGGCTCCAGCAGGACAGGTTACAGCATCTGCCTGAGCCTCTCCTACCTTCCCATCCTGGAGCCTGAGCAGAACTGTGTCATGGCAACCACGCTCCCAGATCCTGGGCCCGTTGTCTGACAGCCGGAGCCAGGCTTTGGCCTGTCTTCAGCCCACAACACTGGGAGATGCTCTGAGTACTCTCCGTCTAGCCCCCAGCAAGCCCGCCTGTCTTGTCTTGTGACAGAATCCCAGTCAGCCCCCGTGGGCTCCCTCGGGAACCCACTCCTTCCACTCGGAATCAGAACAGGTGTGCCTTCCTCACCAAGGCCTCTTGCCTTACCTCTGTACCGGAAGTGGGCCTCCAGGGGCGTGGGGGACACACACCTGATGAGGGAGGGCCTCGGAGGCCACCAGACTATTTTCCTGTTTCTGAGCATCTCACAGAAGTGGTGCACTCACCTCCTCTGGGGCTGCCTGGGCCCACTGGAATGTCGAGAGTGTGCTCTGGGCTGGATTGGCCCGACAGCTTTGATTGACAGTGACTCTGCCTTGTGAAAACAGTTGATTACTGCTGTGGTAATGCAGTGAAAAGCGTCCTGCTATAGTCAAAGTGGCTCAATGATGGGGGTCTCCTGGAGTAATCAAAGGGGTCCTAAGTGGCAGAAGATTCTCTTCAATGAAACACCACACCCTGCCCTCCGTTTTATAGACAGAGAAACTGAGGCTCAGAGAGAGCCTACCACTTGCCTAAATGTATAGAATGAGTCAGCAGCAACACTGGGGCTCAGGCCAAGTCTCCTAACTCGTAACTGTGAGAAGCATCCCTGTTCTGATGTTCCTGGCCAGGTCTCGACCTGATCCCCAGCCCCACCCAGTTTAGAGACTGTGGAGGGTCGGAGAGGGTGCCAGGAAGCCTGCCAGGCTCAACTGGCAACCCCCCAGCCAGAGCTCTTCCTGCGGCCCCCTCCCAGCTGGGCATTACCTGCTAGTTAGCACAGCCTCCCACCTTCTGGGGTTGTTATGGAAACCAAACCTGGAGGGGAAGGGAGGGAGGGCAGAGAGGAGAGGGTGGCAATCACCGTGGCAGCTAACGTGCTGGCTGTACCTCTGCCTCGCCCCCCGGAGGGGCTGTGTGAGAGGAGCGGAGGGCTATGAGTGACATGGGGCAGAGCAGGGGGAAGACCAGGGTTAGCCCTTCCCAGAAGGGCTCCATCCTGTGCTGGGGCTGGCATGACACGGCAGAATTCTCACCCGCCACCCATCTGCTCTCTCTGTGTCAGGGCCCCCAATCCCACCCCAGCCATCTGCCCCTGCCCCGCGGCTTGGTCACAGCAGACAGGAGGATGCTTGGAGGAGTGTTTTGCCAGCCTGGCAGGAGCAGAGCTCTGCCCTCATCCAGGCCACTGCCGCTGCTGGCCCTTTGCTAGATACAGGGTCTTGCCATACTCTGGGGCCCCAAGAGAGGCCTCGGTGGGGGTCTAGGGTCTCCAAGTTGGAAGTAACCAGGCACCAGGTTCTGGGTGGAGTAAGAGAGGCAGTAGCTCCGTGTCACAGACATGGTCACAGACACGCCTTGTCCTCCCCCAGCCCTGCACCCCACCTTCAAGTCTTCTCAGCATTGCTCTGCTGCACGTGTCCTGATGTCACCGACACGTGGCCACCAGCCCCACCCTGTTCTCAGCCACGCGGCTGGCCTTGAAGGCTGCCAGGAGCTCATACCTTGCGATCTTGGCTTCTCTGTGCTCAGCGGGAATTGAGTGGAGGACAAGCACTGTCTGTGCTGGGGACCTGAGGGGTGGGGGAGGTAGATTCTACACTAGGACAGGCAAAGACAGGCTGAATCCCAGCTGGAGATGGGCGGGGCTTCTCTAGAGACTTGAAGGCACAGGCAGGGTCTGGAAGGGACATGAGGGTGCAGCAGGGAGAGCTGGCTCCCTTTCTGATCCTCCACTCAGACTGTGGAGGACTCCACAGTCCTACACTCATGCCCTGTAACCAGAAGAGACAGCCTGGAAACCAGTGTTCTGAGCAAGACAAGCTTTGTCCCAGGCCACACGCACTGGACCAGCAGCAGGAAATGGACCCAGGGCCACCAGCAGACTGGAATCATGGCTTCCATGTTACA